TCTCTGCTCTCAGGTCCCCAAACCCAAATAAGCCATCCGTTACCATCACACCCTCCTCAGGACCCAGCACGGCCTCTTGTCTCCCTCCTCCAGCCGTGAAATTTCATCTCGAAGGAGCAAGGCCCAGGCCCAGGCTCATCCCAGGTTCTTTCTTGTCTCACCCGTGGCCCTCAGTTTTAAAGCTCAAAAGCCAAGAACTGGCCTCTGCCACTTTCCCTTTGGGCAGCGACAGACGTGGCCCTTCCTGTGGGAGGCTCACAGGTGGCAAGAATTCCGGGGAGAGCAGGTGGGAATTCGGGGGAGAGCAGGTCAGTGATGGGGTCCTGGTGCCCTCAGTTCAGGGAACTCCTCCCCACGACAGGGGCACAGAGTGAGACTTTGAATGGAAGCCCCGGAGTCTCCCATCAGAGGGGAGCAGGACAGACGTCCTGGTGTGTCCCCAACTGGCCCTGCCCAGCCGGTGCTGGAGCTCCTGCTCAGGCACACGCCCAGCTGCTCACCTCTGAGTGAAGGGTCATGGCCACATGTGGGCGGCAGCCATGCTGAGCCTCAGCGAGTAGATCCAGCCACCCTAATCAAAACTGCTAGACCAAATTACCTATTGATTTCTCCATTACAAATGTGTTTTATTTTATCTTCCTGTGGGCTTTTATTGGCCATAATCGTCTTTCTGGAAGGCCTCCTTGCTCAGACTGGTGACACGATTTTTTAACGCATGACATGCAGCGTTATTCCATGTCCCGGGAACATGAGCCAATAAATATGGGAGAAAGACCACTTCCCTCAGGGGCTTGTTCATAGCGCCGCCACGGCGTGATGGAACAGTCTAGCCCCACGAGTGGCCCCGTCCCAGCCAACTCCTGGAGGGCCTGGGGGAGCAGCTGCAGGCATTGGCGTGGTCAGCTCTCGGGGGGACCCCAACACGATGTGGGTGCAGGTAGACGCTGGGAGCTTGGAGGCATCTGGAGTCCAGAGACAGAGGAACCAAGGCCAGACCTGGAGGAACCTGAGACCCCTGGTAGAACCTTTCAGAGGAGGGTGCTGGGTTATTCTGGATCAGGCGTCCCATCAGACTTGCAGTCAGCTTGGGCCGTGGAAGGTCCTGCAGGGTGATAGCTGCAGGTGCAAGACCCCTGTGTGGCGCACACAACCCCCAGATGGTCCTGGGCAATGGTGGTGAACAAGGGGGTGCCCACCCCCTATATCTCCCAGGCACCCATGGGGTACAGATGACCCACACTGGCGCTGTGCTGGGTGTGGGGAGGCAGAGGTACAGGGCACAGCCCCTGCCCCGGGGGTGGCAGAGTCGGGGGGGGGTCGTGCACCAAAGCAGTGAGAGGTGACAGTGTGCATCATGGAGCCACGAGGCATCTCACTCTGGACTCAGGGAGGCTTGCAGGGACCACCCCTTCCTTCAGATGGACACCCCTGGGGAGGATGAGGGCTCACCTAAGCATGGTGTCGCGGTGATTGCGTGTCACCCCCAGGGGCAGTGCAGGGACAGTGGGGATCCGGGACCAGAACTGTGATCTCTGTCCCTCCCTGCAGACCCTCCTGGAGGCAGTCATGGGCTTCCAGGAGCGACCGTCTCAGTTTTCCTTCCATGCTCATCCAATACTATTATTTAGGCAATTTTATTTTTTGAGATGAGGTCTTACTCTGTTGCCCAGGCTGAAGTGCAGGGGTGCGATCACTGCTCACTGCAACCCTGACCTCCCAGGCTCAAGCACTCTTCCTACTTCAGCCTCCTGAGTAGCTGGGACTACAGGTGTGAGCCACCACGCCCAACTGATTTCTTTCTTTTTTTTTTTTTTTTTTTTTGTAGAGATGGCATTTCACTATGTTGACCAGGCTGCTCTCGAACTCCTGGGCTCAAGCTATCCTCCTGCCTCAGCTTCCCAAAGTGTTGAGATTACAGGCATGAGCCACTGCACCTGACCTTATTGATGTGATTTTTAAATTTCTTCTTTTTGTACTGAAATATTTTATTCAGTAGCAGTGCCGAGAAGTCCTGAGTGTGACATACCAGATTATGTGGTTGTTCCTGCTTGGAAAGATCAGATGCTGAGAGGCTGTGGTGGCCCCAGAGAAAGGGCAGGGTTGGGTCTGTTCAGCCTCCGGTGCTTCACTGCCGGCCCTAAGCATGGCGAGTGGGGTTCAGAGCAACAGCACCTTGTGGGTGGAACACCCCAGGTTCCTTCCTGTCTCTCCTGTGGCCCTCAGCTTATGAAGCTCCAAAGCCACAAACTGGCCTTTTCCGCTCCACTGTGGACAGTGTCTGGCCTTCCTGCCTGCAGGCGGCTCACAAGGGGTGAGAACATGGGGAGATCACATCCGTTGGGGGACATGGTGCCTTCCTGCTTCTTGGGGAAAGCTGATTGATCCCTCCAGCAGATAAGTTCCTCTCTAAGTGGAAATGTCTTACACTGCTTATCATGAAGGTTTCCAGGCATTCCTAGAAGCAGGAGGAACCGACATGATTGCCTGGAAGCACTGTGTCATGATGATTGTGTGGAACCGTGTCATGATTGTGTGAAAGTGCGGTGTTGCGGTGATTGCGTGGAAGTGTGGTGTTGTGGTGATTGCATGGAAGTGTGGTGTCATGATTGCGTGAAAGCGTGGTGTGATTGCGTGGAAGCGTGGTGTCATGGTGATTGTGTGGAAATGTGGTGTCTGTGTGGAAGCGTGGTGTCTGCGTGGAAGCGTGGTGTCAGGGTGATTGCGTGGAAACATGGTGTCGCAGTGATCGCGTGGAAGCGTGGTGTCGCGGTGATCGCCTGGAAACGTGGTGTCGCGGTGATCGCATGGAAACGTGTCGCAGTGATTGTGTGGAAGCGTGGTGTCATGGTGATCGCGTGGAAGCGTGGTGTCGCGGTCATCACGTGGAAGCGTGGTGTCGTGGTCATCACGTGGAAGCGTGGTATCATGTAAATCTCACAGTGATGGGCACGCTGCTGCACAGCAATCTGCACTTTTTGCAGGAGTACTTTTTTTAATTACCAGACCTCATGATCCTCCACATCTAAATCTGTCAGAATGCATCACCCTCAAAAGCACATTTTGGGCAGATCGCAGTGGCCCATGCCTGTCATCCCAGCACTTTGGGAGGCCAAGGCAGGTGGATCACCTGAGGTCAGAAGTTCAAGACCAGCCTGGCCAACATAGTGAAACCTCGTCTATACTAAAAATATAAAAATTAGCCGGGCATGGTGGCAGGCACCTGTAATCCCAGCTACTGGGGAGGCTGAGGCAGAAGAATCGCTTGAACCCAGGAGGCAGAGGTTGCAGTGAGCCGAGATCATGCCACTGCTCTCCAGCCTGGGCAATGGAGGATGACTCTGTCAAAAAAAAAAAAAAAAAAAATCAAAACTACATGATAAGAAATAGATAGCAAACTCACAAACTCACACTCCCAGCTCTGACCTTGACCCCATTCCTCCTAATAATGATGATCATTTTTATTAGTTTTTGGTTTATCCTCATGTTTCTTTCTGCAAACATGAGCAAATACGTATACAAATCGTATTTTTCTCCCTGTTTTGCACAAAAGGTGCACACTATGTGGGTTGCTTTTTTGGCCACCAGTAGATCCTGGAAGCCTCTTCAGCACACAGAGATTGTTCTCATTCTCTTTACAGCTGCAAGTGTCTCCCCGCACAGATGTACTGCAGGCCGTGCAGCCAACCATAGCTGATGGATGTTTGGGTCGTTTCCAGCATATTGTCTCTGCGTACACTACACAATGAATACTCTGATGCATATGTTACTTTGCACATATCTAAGCAGAATTTTTAATGCAATTGCAACACATTGTGTTGTGCTTTTTCCAGTGAGACTGTTGCAAGCTTTGCCACTGAATGTCTCAGGGCCCCAAGCTGTTTCCACGTAATTTCCCTCCCTCCCCAAAATGTGTAGGAAAGGCTTGAGCGAAGCTTTTCTGATCATACAGCATCACTGCGGAACTGCAGCTCTAGCGTTTATCAGCCTGGGTCCTGGTGCACCACAGAATTGTGTGGATGCAGGGGCCAAGGGCAGCAGTGATGGGAGCTGCAGACCTGGCATGGTGGTGTCTGGGGCTGCGGTAACAAATTACCACAAACCAGGTGGGTTACAACAATAGAACTGTCTTCTGTCCCAGCTCTGGGAGTCAGAGACATAAATTCAAGGTGCCGGCAGGAACGGTCTCTCTTGGGAGGTTCTAGAGGAGAACCCGCTGCCTGCCTCTCTCCTGTTTCTTGGCCTGTAGCTGCCTCACTCCAGACTGCACCTCCGTTGCCACATGGCTCCTCTCTGCACTTGTGTGTCTCAAATATCCCTCTCCCTTTCTCTCTGTTTTGAAATTTTGGAGAGCCTCGCTCTGTCACCCAGGCTAGAGTGCAATGGTGCGATCACAGTGCACCACAGCCTCAAACTGCTGGGCTCAAGCGATCCTCACACCTTAGCATCCCAAAGCCCTGGGATCATAGGCATGCATGACCACACCCAACCCTGCCTGTCTCTTATGAGGGCCTCTGTCTTTAACTTACATGTACAAAGACCCTATTTCCAAATAAGGGCCCATTCACAGGTCCCAGGTGGACATGTCTTTTGGGGGGCGCCATTTGACCCCCTGCACCTGGTGAGGCCCCCCTGGCCAACAATGTCAGGAGCCTTCCCCACACTAGGCTCAAAGGAGGAAGGTCAATGGGGTTACCAGGCCAGGAAGAGGGGCTGGAGTCCCCCAGGAGGAGCTCAGCTTCTGCCTCAGCACAGCATTGGACAGGGGCTGGGAGGCCTAGACCCCCTCCCTCTCTCCTCCCATCAGCCAAACCCAGCAGGAACCAGAAGACAAGGGTGCCTGGAAGATGGGACCTTTTGGGGCCTCCAGGCTAAAAAGCAGGGCAGAGAAGAGCCGGACATGGTTCAGAGAGGGCTGGACACCAACCTTCCCGCGTGTCCCCCCACGCCCGCCCCCCCGGAAGCTGCGCCAGGTCACTCCCAGCCCCGATCTGTTGTTCCAGGCAGTCGACTACGAGCTCAACAGAGCCTTCATGCTCACGGTGATGGTGTCCAACCAGGCGCCCCTGGCCAGCGGCATCCAGATGTCCTTCCAGTCCACGGCAGGGGTGACCATCTCCGTCATGGACATCAATGAGGCTCCCTACTTCCCCTCAAACCACAAGCTGATCCGCCTGGAGGAGGGCGTGCCCCCTGGCACCGTGCTGACCACGTTTTCAGCTGTGGACCCTGACCGGTTCATGCAGCAGGCTGTGAGGTAGGTCCACAGGACACGCCTCGGCCCTGCCTGCAGCTTCCCGGGTTCCACACAGAAGGGTCCAGAAATACCCCATGAAACCCACGGCCCAGAATTCCCCCAGATGGCTGGTCAGGGGCATCCCCAACCTGAGGCACCCTCCAGGAGGGAGCAGCAGCCCTTAGTCCCGGATAGCCAGATGCAGCCCCTGACCAATCATGAGTGTTGTGACCGGCGCTTGCACATTCAGCACTGTCCAGATGCAGGCCGGGCCCGATCCTGGCTGCACTCTTATAGCCGTGAGACTCAGCAACCTCCTGCCCTTTCAGTTCCTCAGCGTCCTTGTCCGTTTGATGGGGACGATGAGGGCATCTGCCCACTGGGTCGTTCTGAGTTGAGGCCACCCACTACTGGATGAGCTCGGTGCCCGTAGGCCACAGGCCTGTCCTGTGATGTGAGGGGGGGGGGCAGTCCAAGGTGGAGGGGAAGCCCCAGAGGAGGACAAGGCCTGGGGGTCTCCAAGGAGACGGAGACACTGGCCCAGGCCCAGGCTCTGGAGGTGTGGCCAGTGCAGCTGCCCAATCGGGGCCACGGAGGCCTGGGATCCAGGGCGGCCCCGCCCACCCCAGCCTTACCTCCCCCTGCACTTGTGGTCTCCACAGATACTCAAAGCTGTCGGACCCGGCGAACTGGCTGCACATCAACACCACCAACGGCCAGATCACCACAGCGGCAGTGCTGGACCGCGAGTCCCTCTACACCAAAAACAACGTCTACGAGGCTACCTTCCTGGCAGCTGACAACGGTGTGGCCCCCTCCCAGGAGGCAGCTGTCTCGGCGGCCTTCCCGCGTCCTGGTTCTGTGGGCGAGGGAGGGCGCTGGCCAGGCCCCGAGAGGGCAGCAGGCATCCAGAGGGTCACCCGGAGGTGCTGAGGGGACGTCTGCACAGACAGTGGTGATCAGGGTTGCATCATCTCAGGGCCCCCAGGCCATGCTCCACCTCCACCCATTCCCGTGTCAGTCATTGATTCCGCCCCCTCCCCAGCATTCACTTGCTTGCTCGAAGGTGTGCCCCGTCCATCCCCCCAACGTCACTCACCCACAGGCTCCAGGGGCATCAGGGCACTGGTCATCCCAGCCTTGTCCTTGCTGCACTCTGCAATCTGAACTGCATCTCAGTTTTGCTGCCTGTAAACTGAGGCATTGGAACCAGGTCCACAGTTTTCAAATGCTTTTTGCCGGCAGCCCTTGCCACAGACCCCGTCCTGTGGGGAAGGCCCAGCCCCACCGGTCAGCAGCCCCTGGGGTTCCACCCTCGTGGCTCTGACCACCCGCAGCGCAGACCCCTGTGGCCTTCAGTCACAACAGGAAGCATGAGACCTTCCAGGACCCTGGGAGTCCAGAGGGCAGCAGCAAGGTCCCGGAGCAGGCGGCATGACAGACGACCTCAGGACCCTCGATGGGAGGGCGAGGATGGGCTGTGCACAGGCAGCAGGAAGAAGGTTTGAGAGCACGCTGGACTTTCTGAGGGACGTGGGGTGGCATCTCAAGGAGTGGCCACCCCTTCCTGGACCAGCATTAACCCCGCAAGCCGGCCGAGCCCCCCACGGGTCGCATGCTCTCAGAGGCATGGAGGCAGGGTGGGTGGGAGCAGAGATTCTAAAACCGAAGATCAGTCCAGTACCACGGCTTCCCAGTGGGAAAAGACCTGACCTCTCTGTGCCTCAGTTTCCTCCTCTGCCAAGTTGGGGGAGTCTTAGTACCCCTGAGAATCAAACGAATCTGAGTCATCAGAGCACTGAGGAAGGGCCTGGCTCAGGGCAGCATGGGCTCCTGTTTGCTGTGGCCGTGGTTACTGCCCAGCCTGCTGCTCACTGAGTACGGGCCAAATGCCTGCAGCTGCTCATCGGTGAGCAGCACACGGCGATGCCCGGGCCTGGCGTGGCCGACAGCCCGAGTGTGTCGGCTGGAACCCAGGTCAGTGAATACCGATGGAGGAAACTGCAGCACGATTGAGGCTTTTTTTTCCTCTCACATCCAAGAAGCCTGGAGGCAGGCAACCCAGGGGCAGATCCCAGACCCAGGGCTCCGACTGCCATGGCATGGTCCAGAATGGCTGCTGGAGCTCCAGCCATCACAGCCACGTTCTGGCAAACAGAAGGCCTTGTGGGGAGGGCACAGGCACACGCCTGCTCTACTAAGGATTTCAGAAAGCCCCATGCAAGTCCTCCACCCGCAGCTCACAAAGCCCAGAACTTACTGATGCCGCCACCCCTAGCTGCAAGGGATGCTGGGAAATGGGGTCTTCTAGGTGGACAGTGATGATCCCAGACAAAATGTAGGACTCTGATTATTTTATTAAAAGGAAGCAGAAAATGGATATTGGGGATGACTCAGCAGTGTCTGCCCCAGGGAGACCGGAGAGAAACCAGTCACACAGATGATTCAGGCAACAAGAAGATCTGGGAGAAAACAAAACCGGTGGCTGGGAGGCAATGACCAGGGGCTCCGCCCTGAGGAGCTGACCTTGGGACCAAGAGCTGTGGAACCAGAGGAGCAAGCAGGGGAAGGTGGGGTGGCAGAGGAGGGTTACAGAGTCGGGAAACGGTGTGCGCAAAGGCCCCGAGGCGGGGCCATGCCTGGTGGGCTCTTGGAACGGCTGTGCATGAAGCCTCATGGGCAAGGGTCGTCACTGCGCAAACGCTCGTCCCATAGCAGGTGTAAACAGGACGTGGTCACCTCCCTGCCAGCCTCCCCAGCCATCGCCGCCTCCCCCGCCGGGGTCCACAGAGCCGGGGCCATGTAGCTGTGCAGCTACCTGTGAGCCCAGGGCCCTGGTCAGGGGAAGCGTCTCCCCTTGACGGCCCTCCTGCTGCAGCTGAAGCCCTGAGGTTAAATTAGAAAGTGATTGTGAGCCCGGGCTGGGCCCAGTGGCGCACAGCTGTAATCCTAGCACTTTGAGAGGCCATCGCAGGTGGATCATGAGGTCAGGAGTTCAAGACCAGCCTGGCCAACGTGGTGATACCCCATCTCTACTAAGAAAATACAAAAATTAGCCAGGCGTGGTGATGCATGCCTGTAATCTCAGCTATTCAGGAGGCTGAGGCAGGAGAATCACTTGAACCTGGGAGGCGGAGGTTGCAGTGAGCCAAGATGGCGCCATTGAACTCCAGCCTGGGCAATAGAGTGAGACTCTGTCAAAAAGAAAAGAAAAGAAGAAAAAAAGAGATTGTGAGGCTGTAGCTGGACGAAGCATCCATCACATGTGGCAGATGCCATGTGAGTGAGCCTGGGTGTGCAGGCCGGAGTAGGAGCCCTCCAGTTAACAGAAGCTGTCTGTGCTTCTCCGATCACAGGGTGTGCCCTCAGCGACATCTCAAAGCAGTTTTCAAAGGTAGCGCCGCCCTGCGTCCCCTTAAATGTGTTTTGATGCAGCTTCCAGAAGATTCAAGAGACATCCTGTGGGATATATTTTTACATGCTTTGCCTGCCTCAGTCAAGACATGTGGTTGTTAATGTCAGGTCAGGAGCTGCCATCGGGGCAAAGCCACAGTCAGAACCTGCCGTTGCCGCCGCCTCCTCCAAGCCTGAAGAGCAGACAGGGCATCTCTGTCCCCAGATTCCAGCCGCCTGGCCTGCATCCATCAGCACTGCTGGCTTGGGCTGAGGCGGGGGCTGAGCACGTGAAGGCCCCAGGGACAGGGATGGCCCCTGAGGAGCTCTGGGGGCTCAGCAGAGCACCTCCCTCCATGCTGAGGCCAGAGGTCATCGGGTCCTCCAGGGAGACTTCCTGCCGGGCCAGGACGGAGCTTCCATCAAAGCTCATCGGGAGCGGCCGCACCTGCCTTTCTCACAGACACTTCCAAAGGCAGCAGTTCTTCCACGCGATCATGGGCTCAGGGCTTCCAGCACCCTGGGGCTCTGCTGGGTGGGGCCAGCAAAACTCCAGGAGGCAAGGAAAGGTTTTGCCCTAAGTCCCAGACGAGGGCAAGATATGGTGGGTGGGTCCCAGCCCTCAGGGGCCAGTGCAGAGCCCAGCACCCTCAGAACCCCTCCCTGGCTCCCCCGCGGGAGTGAGTCCCCAGTGCGTGGCTGTGACCTCAGTGGCTCTGAGTTTAACTGTGCATTGGTGGAGGGCATGTGGCGAGGGCTCCACGTGAATGCCGCACCCCACTGTGTGCGTGTGTGCAGCTGCGGGTGTGGGTGTGGCCGTGTGCTCTGCAGTGTCTGTTGAGATGCCATACACAGTGACTGTGCAGTGGCTGTGTGCGTGTGTGCAGCTGCGGGTGTGGGTGTGGCCGTGTGCTCTGCGGTGTCTGTTGAGATGCCATACACAGTAGTGTGGCTGCCCATGGCGTGTGGCAGGGTGTCAGGAGCCATGGCTGGGCTGTGGGTCAGTCCCTGTGCAGCTGTGTTGGGGGGTGGCCGGCCGTGGCCGGCTGGGGGGCTGTAGATGTGTCCCTGTATATGTTGTGTGTGGTTGTTTGTGTGCGTGTCCTGTGTGGAGCTGTGGGTTGGTCGTAGAGTAACAGGAGTGGCCCGTGTGGTGACCTGTGTCTGTTCCGCAGGGATACCCCCAGCCAGCGGCACCGGAACCCTCCAGATCTATCTCATTGACATCAACGACAATGCCCCTGAGCTGCTGCCCAAGGAGGCGCAGATCTGCGAGAAGCCCAACCTGAACGCCATCAACATCACAGCGGCTGACGCCGACGTCGACCCCAACATCGGCCCCTACGTCTTCGAGCTGCCCTTTGTCCCAGCGGCTGTGCGGAAGAACTGGACCATCACCCGCCTAAACGGTGAGCCCGCCTTAGGCCACGGGGAGGGTCAGACCAGCCTGGGGTGCAGGCCCCTGGGAGACCCAGCTGGCCTTGGAAGACTGAACACCAGAGGTGGGCGACGGCCCTCCAACAGGACTGTCCCACCAAGGCTGGGGACACTGGCCACGCTTCAGCTGCTCAGCCTTCTTCACCTGGCCCTGAGGAGGCCACCAAGTCATTCCCAATTTCTTGCTGCTTTAATGAGCCCAGCCGTGAACATCCTTGCAGCTCTGCCCATGTACATCCATGACAACTTCCTGTGCCAGTTATCAATTGACTGGACCCTGACCGATAACGTTTCCTTAGAATACTTCCTTGGATATAGATTCGTGGTATAAAAGGATATCAAAATTCTCAAGTTCTGGCAGTACAGTGAAAATGTGCTCTAGACATGTCTACTTCCATCGGGAGAGTGCCTGTTTTCTCAAACCCTACCAACACTGAACATTATTGTTTTAAAATAATATTGTATTCTGCCACTTTTAGGCCAAAGTCATTATTTCCATTTGTATATCTTGACTACCACTGGAAATTTTTTTAAAATATTTATTGGCCATTTTTGTTTCTTCCGTGAATTGTCTGTTCAATGACTTTGCCTATGTTTTCTTTGGGGAGTTTCTTTTTATTGATTTGATAAAACTCTTTATATATTCAGGAAATTATTTCTTCATCCTACATGTTGCAATTGCTTTTTGGTTGTGTCTCCAAGGCCTTTTTTTTTTTTTTTTTTTGAGACAGAGACTCACTCTGTTGCCCAGGCAGGAGTGTAGTGGCACAATCTCAGCTCTGCAACCTCCACCTCCCAGGTTCAAGCAATTCTCCCACCTCAGCCTCCCAAGTAGCTGAGATCACAGGCTCGTACCACACCCCAGGCTAATTTTTGTATTTTTTACTAGAGACAGGGTTTTGCCATGTTGACCAGGCTGGTCATGAACTCCTGACCTCAAGTGATCTGCCCACCTCAGCCTCCCAAAGTGCTGAGATTACAGGCGTGAGCCACCACACCCAACTTCCAATGTCTTTTAACTTAATGATGTAGCACAGGTGTATGTATGTGTGGTAACCAGACAGATATTTCAGATTTCCATGCCATTGGACTTAGTCTTTTCCTCTGGACGTCTTGCTTGGAAGGGAGGGCCAGGCTCTGGCTGAATGTTTACTGTTCCTTTGCACCAGGTGACTATGCCCAACTCAGCTTGCGCATCCTGTACCTGGAGGCCGGGATGTATGACGTCCCCATCATTGTCACAGACTCTGGAAACCCTCCCCTGTCCAACACATCCATCATCAAAGTCAAGGTGTGTCCATGTGACGACAACGGGGACTGCACCACCATTGGTGCAGTGGCAGCGGCTGGTCTGGGCACCGGCGCCATCGTGGCCATCCTCATCTGCATCCTCATCCTGCTGAGTGAGTGTGGCTGAGCACCAGGGTGGGTGGGGGCATTGCAGATATGAGTGCCCTGTCCCAGGGATGGTGGGCAGAGTGGGGCCTGGGTTTCACTCTCAGCCCGCATCTCTCAGCCTTATCTGTCAGGAGCCCTTCAGAAACGCAGCTGAACTGGTCCATATGACAATGGGAAATTGGAGCCTCCCATTACTCTCAAGTCTGGAGGTGCAGGTTGGCCCAGGCATCTCCCATGGCCTGGCCCCTTTCCATGGCTCCACTCTGCCTCCCAGAGCCCCTGTATCCTGAAGCTGTTGCCCTCCAGAACCTGTGATGCCTATGGGCAGCTCCCAGGTGGACTTAGCAGAGGGAAGTTCAGCCCTGCCTGTTAGCATCCCCATCCAAAGTCCCAGGACACTCTCTGATTGGACGGGTTTGGGTCACATGCACACCTTGGAGCCAATCGCCAGCCAAGGAATGGAGTGTTCTCATTGGCTCTGCCCAGACCATATGCTCTACTAGTTTCCTGAGTTTCCCAGAACCACATGGGTTCCCCAGCAGGCCTGAGGGCTGGGGGGGTGCCAGGGGAGGTGCTTGAAAATGACCCCAGAGGTCCCTCTTCCCATCATCCCTCATGGACAGTCGCCCTGGTCTGTGTTAGCCCAGGGATCCCAGTGGGAGGCAGGGCAGGGAAGGGTTCGGTCACCACCTCCCCAGTTCACACCCAAACCAGAGGGTCCCCCACCATGTCCAGAACAGGCTGAAGCAGGTGCCAGGCCCCTCCTGCAGATCTGGCCTGTAGCTGACTTAAGACCCCAGGGACCAACGTCAGCCCTGTCCAAAGGACGTCTGAGTTATGAGGACTCTGCTTTTTTCCCCATTTCTAGACCTATCACCCCTCAAAAAGCTGGTTTTTAATTCTGAGGCTTGTTTTGAAAGCCGTTCAGTGTCATGGGCTCCTTTGTATGATCAGGAGTGGAAAGAGCCCCACAGAGGTTGGGAAGAGTCTCCATAGCAAAGGTGGGGGCGTCCTCACCGACGTCCCCTGCTCTGAAGACACAGGGGCCAGGCCCAGCCAGAGGGCCCTCTGTGGGCAGGGCTATGAGGCCTGATTCAGCCGGGTGCCTGGCTGGGGCGGGAGACCTGGGCCACTCGCAGTGGAGGGCAGCCGCAGTGGGGCCGGGGCCAGGGTCAGCAGCAGATCCGCCTGCTGCCCGGCTTCTGTCCATTCGTGGGCACCTCAGCCCTGGTGGGGTAAATGGGGGCACCCAGAGTGGCCTCCCCTCCTCCACACTCCTTCTCTCAACCCTCGCTCATCTTGTCTGCCTGGATGAGCCTGGGGTGCCAGCTATGAGAGTGGAGCTGACCCCTTCGAAGCTTCCGCTGAGCCAAGACTAGAGCAGGCTCCGGGTTCCAGGTTCTCACCGAGCCGCGCCTGCAGCAGGTGGTTCCTCCCTCCACCTGCCCTTCCCTCTCCACGATCTGGGCCAGGTCAGGAAGTGTCCTCCAGCTGTCACCTCACCCTGCACAGGCAGGAGGGATGCCACCAGTACCCACAGAGCTCCTCCCAAGCCTCCGCTCAGCTTCAGAATCCTCCTCACGGCACTCAGGCAGCCACAGCCAGTTAATCGGGTTGGCAAAAAACAGCCCTCCTGATGGGGGGGTCGCCACCCCTCCCGCCTCCGGGCTCGCCCTCTGCAGTACATAAGAGCACACCTGTGACTTCTGGGCCTCAGCTGTTACATCTGTGACGTGGGAGGTGATGGGAGGCTTTGGGAGGATGCAGTGGAGTGCTTTGTGCAGACATTTACTGGGGGCGTGGGCCGCGGGACCTGCTCCTGGAGCCCATGCCCGGTGCATTGCCAGGCTTGCAGATGGGTGCGCCAGGCTCTTCCTGCAGCAGAGGCAGCCAGGGGTCCAGAGTGAGCAAGGCTGTTTAGGGGAGCCAGGCCTGGACACGGACCTCGGAAGGCAGGGGGAGGCCAGTTCAGCTTGGGGGAGAGGGTCCCCTCCATCCACCCCACAAGGGGGCTTTACCTCTCTTCAGTTTCCACATGCACCTGAACTTCTAAGCCTGTCCCCCAACTCCTCTGGGTGGTGGAAAGAGCCCCTCTGAGTGACCCCTTGGTGCTGGGTGGGGCTGCCCTTCTGTCCAGCAAAGCCCTGGACTGACCCTGCCCCAAGGGCCCTCAGGAAGCAGGATCCCTGGATCCCCTCTCTGGGCCCCTCTCCTCCCCTGCCCCCTCCCAGGGCAGAGCCTCTTTCAATATGAGGGAGTCCATCTCCCTCTCTCAGTGATTCCTGCCAAGACACTGTGTGCCTAAAACCTCACTTCCACCTCCTTTGCCAAAGCCGTCTCCCCTCCTGCTGCTCAGAAGAGGGACTCAGAAAGACTTGGGGGTGCACCCCTCAGCCCCCCATGTCCTCCTGCCCCCAGGCGGTGAGGGGCGCCCTGAGCTGGCTGCCTCCTCAAAAGGGGAGTGCAAGAGGAGGGCGAGTATGTAAATCAGTGTCTCAAAATGTAGCCCAGTGCCCCGGCAGTGAGCTGGGTAGAGGGCCTGAGCCAGTGCGGCTCTGCCTTGGAAACTCATGCACACACACACAGGCATGTACACACAACGTGGGCACACATGCAGAGACACGTGGGCACACATGCACTATGCACATGAACACATGCTTGCACTCACACCCCATGAGCATACACAGACACACGAAGTACACATGAAGACATGCACAGACATGCACACACAGACCCGCGCAGACTTCTGTGTGCACATACACACACAAACACACGAGCACACACATACACAGATCTACATGCTCGCACAGGCACACGCATGTGCAAGCCTTCATATACACATATTCCTGTGGATACATGTATGCATGGTTACACAGACATGCATGAAACATCTACATCCACAAATGCACACGCACGTGGGCCGCACATGTGCACAGATGTGTGTCCTTGCACACCCAGGCCTGCATATGCAGAGACACATGTGCGTGTGCAATACAGGTGTGCGAGCAACACGGGCGCAGAGTCATGCTTGTGTGCCACCTGCATGCACATGCCCATACAGACACGTGGCAAACAGGGGCATGCGTGTGCACACATGCGGCACACCCACACACCCTGCTCACGGGCGGCCCTCCCCCGCAGCCATGGTCCTGCTGTTTGTCATGTGGATGAAGCGGCGGGAGAAGGAGCGCCACACGAAGCAGCTGCTCATTGACCCCGAGGACGACGTCCGCGACAACATCCTTAAGTATGACGAGGAAGGTGGCGGCGAGGAGGACCAGGTGAGACCATGGCCCGCCTCTGCCTCCCCACAGGAGGCCAGCTCTCACGTGTACCAGTGTCTCAGCAGGGCTTGCCCTCGGGTTTTAACAGTAAGACATTTCAACCTTTTTCACCAGTGAGGGCGCCAGGCAGGGGAGCAGTTTCCTAGTCCGACCGCCCTGCCCACGTTTGCATGTCTAGCCTGGGTTGAGCTGTGCACACTGCACCTGCATCCCCCACAGGGGATCCTAGGACCCCTCCCATCCTCTCGCCTTCCTCCCTCCCACTGCCAGCCCCTGCCCAGTGCTGCCCCATGCCCTGGAGGGGAGGGGGCTCTGGGTTGGCCAAGGATACCAATGCCCACTCACCTGATTGCTGCTGTGTGCGGGGTCTGTTGAGTGACCAGGGGCAGTGGCCCGGGAGGGTAGACTATGAGAGCTGCTGGTTGGAATCTGGGTCTGCCCTTGGCCTTTCAGGGAATCGGGGCAAGTCCTTAAACCCATCTAAAGTTCAGACCCCTCCCCACCCACAACACGACCATAACGAGTGTGAGGAACGTGCCTTGCGGAGACCCAGCTCCTGGCCACCTGAGCACACGGGGCACATGGTCAGTGAGCAGCGTGGTGGTGGGGTCACTCGGGGAGAGCCCCAGGCCATGGAACACAGCCAGGCACAGCCCCCATCCCTGCTCAAGGGATTGGGGTGAAGGGCGAGGAAGTGGGGCATTGTGGAGGGGCACAGCAGGGGACAGCGTGGTTCTGTGGGATGCTTGGAGACCAGGCCACAGGGCAGCAGGCAGCAGGCGCATCTGTGGCCCAGGACACAGAACAGGATGCAGGGCGGAAGAGGGGCTCGGCGGATTCTTGTGGTGCCCCTGACTCCTCCCGGCTGCCCCCTCCAGGACTACGACCTCAGCCAGCTGCAGCAGCCGGAAGCCATGGGGCACGTGCCAAGCAAAGCCCCTGGCGTGCGTCGCGTGGATGAGCGGCCGGTGGGCGCCGAGCCCCAGTACCCGGTCAGGCCCATGGTGCCGCACCCAGGCGACATCGGTGACTTCATCAACGAGGTGTGTGCCCCTCAGCAGTGGGGGTCCCGGGCAAGGTGTCTCCTCTAAAACTAAAATTCTAGTAGCACACAAACAGCAGCCGTCTCCACAGTGCCGGTAGCCGCCGTGGGGAGGCGGCGGCTCAGACCCTTGGTTCCAGGCCCAGCCCTGCCCCTCCAGCTGGGTGGCCTGGGCAAATCACCTCCCCCAGCCGGCTCTCCTTCCAAGGACGAGGATTCCTACCTGTGAGCCAGGCGAAGGATCAACACGCAGGGCGGTGTTCAGCCTCCTCCACACCCACCTCACCCTCCCCCAAAACCCTCTCACCCTCCCCCACACCCCTCACCCTCCCCCACAGCCCCTCACCCTCACCCACACCCCCACCTTCCCCGACACCTTCCTCCCCCTCCCCACACCCCTCTCACCTGCCCTTGGGTTGGGAGGAGCTGAACTCCAGCCACAGGCCCTACCCAACCCTCCGTCTCCCCTGCCCACAGGCCGCTGCTGGATTTGAGTTTGCCCCTCCAACACTCCCACTCTCCGTCTTCACAAATGCCCTTTCCTATTCAGAAATGCCCTTCAGTTAAATGCAGAGAGCACTTATTGGACACCTACTGTATGCAACATCCTACCTCCCCACCTCTTCTTCTGGGCCCCGCTTTCCGTTCCATCAGATCCCGGGGCTGAGACAGTGCGCCCTGCACTCTAACCCTGTGTCTGTGACCTCCAGGGACTCCGGGCTGCCGACAACGACCCCACAGCACCCCCCTATGACTCCCTGCTGGTCTTCGACTACGAGGGGAGCGGCTCCACCGCAGGCTCCGTCAGCTCCCTGAACTCATCCAGTTCCGGGGACCAAGACTACGATTACCTCAACGACTGGGGGCCCAGATTCAAGAAGCTGGCGGACATGTATGGAGGCGGTGAAGAGGATTGATGACCTCGTGTCTTCGCACCGAAGTGAGAGCCACACTCGGACGCCGGAGGAGCAGGACTGAGCGGAGGCGGTCGGTCTTCCCGACTTTCCCTGCGGCCGTGTCCTTAGTGCTGTTAGAAGGCCCCCCCACCCCCACGTTGAGCTGTCTAGCATGAGCACCCACCCCACGGCGCCCTGCACACGGCTGCTGCCCAGCACTGCGCCGGCTGGCACTGAAGGACAGCAAGAGGCACTCTGTCTTCACTTGAATTTCCTAGAACAGAAGCACTGTTTTTAAAAAAAAAAAAAAAAAAGGCCGGGCGCGGTGGCTCAAGCCTGTAATCCCAGCACTTTGGGAGGCCGAGACGGGCGGATCACTAGGTCAGGAGATCGAGACCATCCTGGCGAACACGGTGAAACCCCGTCTCTACTAAAAAATACAAAAAAAAAAAAAAAACTAGCCGGGCGAGGCGGCGGGCGCCTGTAGTCCCAGCTACTCGGGAGGCTGAGGCAGGAGAATGGCGTGAACCCGGGGGGCGGAGCTTGCAGTGAGCTGAGATCCGGCCACTGCACTCCAGCCCGGGCGACAGAGCCAGACTCCGTCTCAAAAAAAAAAAAAAAAAAGAAAAGAAAAGAAAAAAAAAAGAAAGTGCCTTTTGGTACATGTATCAGATTCCCTCAAACTCAGGAGTGACTAAAGCTGACAGACCGTCCCCACCTTCCTGTCCCGAGCAGCCTCTGACCCCAGCTAGTCCCAGCTCTGAAGGCATCATTCAGAAATGGGGGAGACTGTGTCTTTCTTTCTTTCATTTTTATTTTGGTCTTTTATTAAGAAAAAGAAAGTGGGTGACTTGTTTGAAAACAGAGTGGGATTCAAATCCCAGCAGCCTTTGTTGTACACAGTTGGCCGGGGAGGCTCGGGGCGTCTCTTGGGTCTCTTGGGATTTGAGGCCAACTGGGAGGCTTAGCCTTCAGCCCCAGCAGCAGAAAGCCCTGGGGCCGGTGTGGCTCAGACTACCCCCCCGCCTTGGGGCTGCTTCCCACCCTCTCCCGGATGCTGTGAGGAGCTCAGGCCGGGGGCTGGAGGGGAACAGGGGTCATCCTGGGTGTTCCCCATCTCTGCCCCTGGCTGCCCCCAGGGCTCCACCCCCAGTCAACCCAGGCCTCCGTCAGGGCCACCTGTCACCCCGAGTGCCACCAGATCCCCTCTGCCTTTGGTCCAGAAGAGTGAGTTTTCCAAACCAGCCAGCGGTCTGGTCACCAGGCTGGCTCCAGCCCTCCAACCTGGTAACCAGACTGCCTGGGGTGCCATCAAAGGCCCCGCAACATGCATCGATTCAAAACCCCAGGACACTCTTGACAGCTCCAACCATCCGGGGGGCTGTGCAGATGGCAGGAACAGAGGACCCTCCCTGGCAGTGGGAGAGGGCATGGTGACCAGAACCACACCCAGCAGCCTGCGCAGCCTCCCCGTCCCCAGCCTGTGTGCTTCTGATTCCTGCCAGATGCTTGTGGGCCTGTGTGGGTGGCGGGAGGCCCCATCTTGCTGTGTCCACCTGTCACACAGATGCTTCTGCACACTGCAGACGGTGCCTCCCCTCTCCTATGGGCCCACGTCAGGGGCAGGCAGCGGCGGGTCCAGCCTTGCTGCTGTCCTCGAGGCTGGCACTGCTATCTCCAGGGCTGGGTTGACTCAAGCCAAACAGGGGGAAGGAATCAGTCCTGCAAGACAGTAAGAGGGGCTGTGTCCGGGGACCCCCGGGAGAGCGCTCGGCTGCCTGTGTTCACTGCATGAGAAAACTCGGAGGGTGCATTCTCCCTCTGGCATGGCTGTGTCTGGGTGCCTCGGGCTGGGGCAGGAGGCAGGCCCCATGTGGGGAAGCCTCGTGCTTGTCAGCTTTCTGTCTCTCCCAGGCCAGTGACAACTGGCTTCCCAAGGAAGGAGGTGCCAGGGGTCCTGAGCAGGACCTGGTGTCAGGTAGGGCGGTGCCAGCACTGGGGAAGGACCGGGAGCCCTCCCGGAACCCTGCCCTGCACCTGCCGCTGGGGTCAGAGGGTGTCTCGGGGTGCCTGTGGGGGCAGCATGCGCTCCACCGGGGACCCGGGCCCCCCTCAGCCTGTGGCTCTTCCCCATGGCTAAGGTCATGCCTTTTCTGAACAGCTTTGGCCTTGAGTGCACACATCTGTGCCAGGCTCACAGCACATTCCCGTTGGACGTCAGGGTCCTTACCCAAACCAAACTCACAGCCACCCCTGCGCAGCCTTCAGAGTCGAGCTGGGGTCCCAGTCTCCAGCTCTGTCCGTTCCGACCCTCCCATGGCTGCCCAGGGAGGGCGGAGTTCACTGTGCCACGTGCTGGGTGCCCCCCTCTGCAGACAGCCAGTCCAGGAGATGGACCAACAGAGGTCAAGGGGCAGCCGGCTGGGCTGCACCGGGGTCCCCCAGCTCTGAGCTGTGCTATGCAAACAAGAATGCTGCTGAGGGTGTGGGGCCGTTGGAGGGACGGCTGGGCGGCCAGTGGAAGGACTGGAAGTCTCTGCTGTTTGGGGAGGTCTGGCCTCCAGTCCTGAGGAGTGTGTGTGGATTATTCTAAGTGTGACTATGACCCGGGAGCCGGGGCAGCATGAACTCCGTTCTCTGAAATTTTGAGGCCTCCTTGGGTTCCCTGAACCCTGGGCTGGCGTTCCCAGGACCCAGCACCAGGAGACCCCAGTCCTGCCAGCACCGCCGCGCTACCCGGGAGGGCTGGGCGATGTTGGTGCCGCCTCCCACCAGCTCCCCTCCTCTCCCACCGCCTCTTGTCACTGCCAAGCCCCCCGTTCATTTTGCCCAAATCACGCAGGCTGAAGCTGCAGTGCCAGCTGGAGGGGCATTCGCAGGGCTTCCCGCGCCGATCCCTGCTTCCAGACAGCTGGACAGCCTCCCCTTTACCCCCACCCCGGTGAGCCCCTGGGGGCCAGAGAAAGATGGGGTTCCCGCAGCTTCCCAGCTCCACCTCTGAACTTGAGTTAGCATTAGCTAAGCATACAATCAGTGTCCAACGTCTCTCTTCCTTAGCTTGTAGATACGACTGTCTGTAACCAGGGGACCCCTGCTGGAAGCCGGGAGGCCAATGCTGGCCGGGTGCGAGGGCATGGTTTGGTTCCTTTAGGGAATTTTTGTTCTGCAAGCAGGAGAAACCTGTGCTGCAGGTGGGAGTGGCAGGAGCGACTGGCCTTGGTCAGCAGGCAGCCCCCAGCCCAGGACCACAGTGCTCTTCAGGGCCTGGGCAGCCCCCGTTTCTGGCCCAGCAGGTTTCTCTTTCTAGTGTCTTTCAGCACATCCAAAATGCTAGGCCTCCCGCCACCAACGTGTCAGAGCAATGTCCAACTGTCAGGCGCTCAGAGATGCCTCAGTTTCCCAGCGTGAGCACCAGCTGACACACACAGTCCACTGAGATGAGAATTCTGTTCTCTCCAAAGCAAAAAGCCGGGCGAGGGGAAGTTTCAATTTCTGTCAGTGCTCAAAGGAATAACACCAAAAGAATCAACACAAAATCTCCCAGACACACGTGACCCAGCTCACGGCGCCGTTGGTCCGTAGGAGGGACAGCACCTCGCAACAGGCCCAGCGGGGGACCACCTCTGTACAATTGGAACGTGTCTTATTTTTCTTTTCTCTCCTTTTTTCATTCTGATTTTTTTTTTTTTTTGCATGTTTCTTTTTGAAAATGGACAAAATGTGCAGCAGCCCGCATGACCACAGTTGTTTTGGGGAAAGATACTGAATTATGATGTACTCACACCTGCAAATCTGAGCATCACGAGGTTAGACAAACGTTCCACCTTTTTTTGTAATCGTCAACAGCACAACTATTTTGTATTGTTGTTTGTATCATTTTGTACCAAAAAAAAAAAAAAAAGGAAAAAAAAAAGGGAAGCGAGTTGATGTTTTCAGTGTTTCTAGTGCCAGACAGTCTTGGTCCCGAACTGAGTGGACTCTTGCGGAGCGGCTGTGCGCGGGCAGGCGGGGCCGGGTGGACCCTCGCGGAGCGGCTGTGCGCGGGCAGGCGGGGCGCGCTGCTCCAGAGACTGAATAAAGTCCCCCTTTTTCGTAGTCGGCCTCGCCCTGGCTTAATTTTCTTCCAAGCATTCGAGAAACAGATGGTGCTCCGGGACGGCAGGTGGGTGCACACGGGGGAGGTGGTGGCCACCATGAGATCCATCCATGCCAAACACACTCCTTGAGCACCTGTGCAGCTCGAGGCGCTGTCCTAGGCTGCGGGAAAATGAAGAACAAAGGCAGACCCGCTCCTCACACCTGTGGGGCCACATGCCATCTGTCTCAATGTTTTAAAGGGTTTAGAAGGTATCCATGAAGCTAACAAGCAAAATCACATTCCCCTCCTACCTTGGCATATACACCCGCCGGACTCCATGGAATGCCCGGACCAATTTGGAATTCTCAGATTCTTTGGAGTTTGGTGCCATAAGTGGCAGCAAGGAAGGAGCTGGCCTGGGCCTGTGGCTCTTCCCACCTTCCTCTCTTCCCACCTCCCTCTCTTCCTACCTCTGGCTTTGCCCAGTGCCCCAAGGGGCCTGCGTGTAGGCATGTGGATGCCCCAGCCAGCATGTCCCGGCTTCACCTAAGACCCCCACAAACAGTATCCCTTGGGCCTCGGGATAGGTCGACCTGGTGAAAATGTTCCTGCAGAAGAGGCCTGAGCAGGCCACGGAGGGGGCTCAAGGCACTTTCTGAGGAGTTTCAGGGTCCTGGTGCCCAGAGGTGTCTGGAGGGGCAAGCACAGGGCCCCCAGCCCTGCAGACTCCTCCCCCTGTGGTGGGGGCACACTATAACGGGCTGAAGTGCCGGCACACAGAGACGCATGTGCACACATGTATATGCTTGCACACACATGAGCACACATGCACACCCACATGGACATGCATATGCATGCAATGGACGTGTGCACACACACATTCATTCACATACGCGCAAACACAGGCAGCACGCATGCAGCACATGCACAGAGATAGGCCTCTGGACACTGACATGTTTGGGTGCAAACCCTCCGCAGCCACAGCCGACATCAGCAGATAAAACCACCAAGCCTCGGAGCCCTTTTCACGGATGCCAGATGCTGCGTGCATCCCTCCCTCCCCACCTCACTTCCCCAGCCTCAGGTGGAGGCTCTCAGGTGCTACGTGCATGCCTCCCTCCCCTCCTCATTTCCCCAGCCTCATGTGGAGGCTCTCCTGCAGTGGTAAGACCAGCTGGGCCTCTGCGGGTGCCTCTCCCGCCCTCTGCCTTCCGTGC